ATGTCCCTAATAGCTCATGTCCATATTCGTGAATGTCCCTAATAGCTCATGTCCATATTCGTGGATGTCCCTAATAGCTCATGTCCATATTCGTGGATATCCCGAATAGCTCATGTCCATATTCGTGGATATTCCTAATAGCCCATGTCCATAGCAAGATATATTCCTTATAACCCTTGTCCATATTAGTGGGTGTTACTAATAGCCAACGTTTAAAGGTTATTAGACCAGGTACATATTTAGGGATGTTCTTACAGCCTATGTCCATGTCTACTGATGCTTCTATCGCCTATATTCATGTTTCTACTGCCTCGACATGTAGGTGCATACACTCTCTCGTAGGTGTGTCTATGAAGTTATAAACAATCCTAAGTAAACAATAACTTAACTACTTTCCTATATTATTGGCTAGTTTACAACGCATATTTTTGTGTATTCACCTGATTGGTTTAAAATTGTGCTCCGCCATAGAACAGAGAACTCTGTTGATACCATGCATGCGAGCGCAACACACACAGCCCTTGACGATACAGCTCTGCACCTGAAATGAATGAAAACTCCTAAACAACAACGCATTTTTCTTAAAATCTAAAATAGCTATTTTTCCGTGCTCAATGAAACAACCTCAGAGCACGGTTTACTCCAGTTGGCCATCTCCAGCTAGAATTTAGCATTAAATGAAGTGTAACGAGAAGTACCATTCTAGGCGAGCGAGCACAGCACGGACAAAGCTGTTCAATGTCTTAAATCCATAAAGTATCTGCTATGTATTATACAATAGCCAGTAATTATCTTTGGAACCATCCAAGAGTGTATGGCAATACCAGTATGACCAATGTTCATTGCGATAAAGTATCTTATAATCTAGTTTTTCATTCTATTTTTTCGTGTAAATAGAGCAAATAATGATAAATAAACTATTTTATAAGTAGGCTAGTAAAATAAGTAAGAAAAGGAAAAGAATAAAGAGAACCACTGAGACCCGACTGAGCTTCTTTTAATCATGGCACGCTACACAACAACTATTATTTCTTTTATCAATCATCGTCGTCATCAATATCATGTTTTATAGCAAATTGAAGTGAGAAGGCCTGGCACCTCGGATGAATTTTTTGCTTCCACAAAGTCGAGGTAATCAGATTTAGGCGTTTATCTGCTTTTCTCACAGTTGTGTTACGTGTTACGGGACAACAATCAAAGAAGCATATTAACTCCAAAAAATATTTTACAGTTGACTCTCTTTGAACGACCACTCTCGAAAGCGACCATCTCCCATAAGCGACCACTTTTTGAATTTCCGGTTTTGTTCCCCAACTCTGTAAAAAAAACCTCTCGTAAGCGACCACTCTCGTAAGCGACCGCGACCACCTTTGGAGTTAAAATTTTGAAATTTTTCATTGTTTTCCCTCTCCCGTAAGCGACCACCCAAGAGCCAGTAATGGTGACAGATCCTTTAACAATAAAAAAATTAAGAACATAGAGTCATCGGGTATTAAAAACCCGACGAAACGTTGACAATTACAGTACTGTAAACATATAGCACATTCAAAATTTTGATTAAAACAGTTTAATCGTTAATACAGTAGTTTTTACACGTGAGTTACAAAATTATAAAGTGTTTGGGCTTCCTGTGTTAACTCTCTCGTAAGCGACCATCTCCCGTAAGCGACCACTTTCTCCTGGCCCCGGGGTGGTCGCTTACGGGAGAGTCGACTTTATTTTATATAATCATCGACGAATGTCACACATGTCTAAAATACGATTTACGAGCGTTGGTCTTGAAGGGAAGTCATAACGTATATAGCCACATGCCTCTCACGAGTAGCACGTACGAGCTACATTCGACCTTGATCTTATGATCTTATCCTTTCGGTCAGACCTAGACCTGTCCTATGACGAATATGACTCTTTGCCCCCAGAAGTTTATTATGTTAATCGGATACTTAAACTGTGCCCTAAAACAGTTTAAACCGTTGTAACACCTGACCTTTCTATGACCAAACGCTTCCTTGTAAATTGTATTCTAATCGTCCAAAACCTGATTTTTGAATCATTCGGTCACAACTCACACATTCTTAGTTTTCCTATTTTAATTAAGAGGCAACGCCTCCAGAAATGTATTAGTTAATATCGGATAATTTTGATAATTTTGTCATATAATTTGATTATTGCACAAATCCATATAAAAAGGATGCATTGAGATAATTCAGTTAGTAGTGGAGTTCAGTTGTAGAAGTTGCTTTTGGCCTTCCAATAAAAGTCTCTACCAGCAAATCACCCCGTAATAGTTGGAATATAAATAATACAAAGACAGTAAGTCTACAAAAGAAAGAATAGTACGAAAATGACTGTAAACTGTACTAACTCGAATGATGAAGATAAGGAGACAGGTGGGGATTATTTGTACAGGTTAAAAACAGTGCAAAAAAAAAAGTTCAACATTAAGTCATAAATGGACAATTATTGCAATTATTTAGGATAAAGCCTAAAAAAAAGAGAAAGTAAGAAAATCATGAAACATGCTTTTACTTTTACAATAGACCTATCCCGAATTCGCTTGACTGGTCACGAAACAATGGTTTGAAGTCGAGGTTGAACTTGATGAATAAAAGAATCGAGTTCAGTCTTGACTTCAAACCATTGTTTCGTGACCATTCAAGCGAATTCGGGACAGGTCTATTAGTCTTCAGTTGGTTTATTGAGATTGGATTGGATGTAGTAAATAAGTAAGTAATACAAGATCAAGTACACAATCTCAAAACGGATTTGGCTAAATATTCAGTTGAGTATGGACACAAATTGTCCGGTTACCACTCTTTTCACTGTTACGCGCTGATCTAGACAACAGTCGCAACAGGGAAATAGATCAATACACTGCCGCCAATCAGAGAATATAAAGGTACCGACCAATTTATTTGATTGACGGAAGTAAATAAATCACTTTTTATTTAAGTGTCTAGTCGTTCTAGCGCGTTCGCACTAATTGGGGACACTTTTCACTCGCACGCACTAGCACTACATTTAATATTCTATGCACACAACGCTCAACTCACATGTTGATTTTTATGGAGGGAGGAAACTGGAGAACCCGGAGAAAACCCTCGTAGCATAGGAGAGAACAACACATCAAACAAACTCAATTCACATGTGGCGACCGCAGGGCTCGAACCAGCGACCCGACCCGTTGGACTCACAGCGGTGAATGGCCGTCATGTCATTTGTTATGTCATTCTCTTGCTTACTGCAAGATCATGTAAATATGAACCCACTGACCAACTTTTGTGCAAAGCTTGCTTTGTTGAGTCGGAAGGACCAATCGATCTCTTTCATGGGATGGTAACTGCGCGATCCGTATCATCCTTTAGTCACGAATCAATACTGAAGCCGTGTTCGCTTCTTTAGGCTAAACGAGGGGCCTGGGTTAAGCGTATAGTCTCGCAAAGATCTTCGGGAAGTATCAAAACTATATGAAGATGTACCAGCTACAACGTACCAGCACCTCTTGTCTTACTAAGATAACCCTCATTCCACGCGAATCGAATTGAACAGCAAAAGAACCGCATTAATCTTTTAAAACACAAAGACATGGATCGATGCATATTGTGATAGTTGTTTAAACGGTATAGTAAACGTATTTCTAACTTTTGTTCTTGTCGGTACTGTCTTAGTACTCATACTGTCTACTCGAACATTTTGAAATCGAACAATTTAAAAAAAGTTTTCCTTCCGATTATATAGATTCATCATTTTGATTATAGATTCAAGAATTAGATTTGAATATCTTGAGCAGATAACCAAGAAGATATGAGACCAGTTGGTAAAATGGCGCAAGTGTGTTGCCATATAATACTTGAACAAATGACCCGATTCGGCAATTAAGATTATACCCATGCGGGGTTCGGGAAACTTTAGAAAAAAGAAACTAAGACCGGTCGACTGTTTATTACACTTTGAATTATTATTTTATCATTATTTTATTATTATCATATTATTTTTATTATGGCTTAGGCTGTTTTCTCTTATGTTTCTGTTTTTTGTTTTTTGTTGTTGTTTTTTTTGTTTTTTTTTTGTTTTTTTTTTTTTAACAGTGATTTTATTAGTGCTATTAGTGCTGTTTAAACTATGAATGCACTACTTTCAACAAGCAAACACAGATGAAAAGTTACGTGCTCTTAGACCATCAATTAACTAATCATTTGTGCATGCAGTATACCTATATTTTACAACCTTTTTTGTCGTGGTCTTTTTCCTTCCTTCCTTTCGACTTCTTGTAAATAAATAAACTTTAAACATTCTTTCTTCCTTTTKTTGGAGGGGGGGGGGGGAGGGGTTGCTTTTTTTTTCTTTTTCCACTCCAACCCTCCAACCCTCCAACCCTAACCTCAACCCTAACCCTAGTCCTCCAGCAGTCAAGGAAGTTTTGCAATTGAATCATCAATAATTCGTTAACAACGAGCCACCAATGAGGATAGGACAGTCGAACCTCAGTACGAGCTCGAGAGAAGTAAAAGATAACGGAGATCAAGACACTTTTTAGAAAATTAACGCTTATCTTTTTGAGACTTTAGCTTCTTCAAATATCGCTTGAGGCAATTCGTAGCTACGCATGCGTAGAACCATAAAAAGAAGTATCCAAGTATGGTTAATTGGGCTTCATACATATGGATAATATTTCACAAGAGAATCGTGTTTTGGACAGCTGGGACCTAATTATCAAGCCCTTTTTCGCTAGAGTTAAAGAAGACACCGAAAACCGAGATAATTAGAGAAACTTCAACATCTACTCTGTTATTTATTCATTCGACGCTTGAATTGAACCAGATTAATCATGTAAGTACGAATGACTTTAAATGATTATTTCTAAGTATCTCAAGCTCCTAGGTTTCACCCTGATGGAAAAGTACTTCGTAAGTGGTGCCAAACCGACTGACAAATGAAAGTAAAGTTTGAACATGTGCCCTATATTATTGTCGCTATCTAAATTGTAAAAAGGAATCGAATATAAAAATACCATCTATATTTTATTATTGCTATAGCAACCACATTGGGAAATATCAGACCTCTATTCGAATGTTGTTTTGTATTGAATGCTCCTTTCCTACAGTCATTACGGTTCCTTTAACAGCCATTAACCATCAACAGCTTTTTGACTCATGTTAAACTCGGTAAGTAACCGCGATGCACATTGGGGCGGCAGTAAATGAATAACAGAAATCCAAAAAAGCAATCTAAATGCTTCTCGCGTGTCGGTTCTAACTCTAATGAGGACGAGCTTTTGTTGAGTTCAAAGAAAAGTACTCAGTTATTTGATAATGGCTTCGAACGTGACAACACTAATGGAACAGACTTTTAAGAGAAAACGGAAATTTGTCAAGACGTGCCCCAAAAGCTGAACCATTGTGTCTAAGAGCAAGCAATATCAACCTCTGTTTCTCAAGTAGTTAGATCAGAGGTTTTTTTGGCACAAATAAACGAAATACTTGACTTAAAACGGGAAAAAATCAGTTCGGTAGTTACGAACAATATCGATGAAACGCAAAGGAAGAAATCTTAAAGAATCTATGTAGTGGAAATACAAATTAAGTTAAGGCGGTTTTTTTTTTTTTTTTTCCTTTCCTTTTTTAATTTTGGGTCTGCAAGTATATACCTTTCCTAATACGTTTTTTATTGCTTTAAGCTTTGAAATATTTATATTGTTCTCTGAAGTTACTGGATAGTTCTGTGTTTCGATTAAATTAGAATTTCACAAAAGAATCTTTGTGAAAAAAAAAATTAAACAGCAAACAGAGAACTTACAGCCGGTTATTAGTAAGACTTATTTTTCAGCTGTCAAAAACATCGACCTTTTTGACAATGAAAATTCGATGTTTGAAGAAAATTAATATTGGTCATTTTCAAGTCGATAGTCTGTATTTTTGAAGCGAAATATTTATTTTTAGCTACATGGAACTTTTGGATGCATATTTTTATATTTGATTGAATTCGTGAATGAGTTGATAACGGTATCAGAGACTTTTCTTAAGGTTTGTATGCAATTAAAAAGTGAAGAGACATTGTGGAGTGACAACTCTATTCATATCTGAACCCTTATTCATATCACAGTGAACCTTAGACAAAACATTTGCTGGGAAAATCAATATTTTTGAGACATTAGAATAAGGTTTATACGATACATTTCGATACGTTCTGTACAACTGAACTCTTCAGTGTCACATTGAATTTCTAATACGTTTATAACGGAAAAAATCAGCCGACTAAGGTCTTAATCAAATAGGAAAAGCTTTATAATTGTGAGAAAGAGGAACTAAAAGAAACGACTGACTATGAGGGAGGTAGTAGAGATGTGTGTTAGTATCAGCATTGATGAGAATAGGTTGTTTTAAGCTAGAAAATAAGCAGAGAATAAATTGTCGTTTGTCAATAGCTGAAAGGGAAGCTCTGAAGCTGAAGGATCTAAAAACACCATGGACTATCAGAGACTATGAGGGACGCTATCAGAGACAATTTTTTCTCTCTCTAGAGTTTCGGCTCTTCCCGCTAGTATTCCCGCTTGCACTATCAAGGTGAGTCTCTTTTTTTTCTTTTTTTTTTTTTTCCATATTCCTATAAATATCAAGGGCTTTTCAATCCAAAAGCCGCCTTTGATTTAAAAAAATATTGAGAAACGTCAAGAAACTGCCAATATATAATTAATGAGAATCTAAAACTAGTTATTAAAAAATAGCATGTCTTGATTTTCAAAGCATTCTGTTTCTGATTAATGTTTTCCTTTTTCAATTTCTCGACTTGGGTTCGGCAAGGACGTCGTATAACTTGAGAAACAAACTGATAACGAGTTCGATGTATCTTAGATAACAAGTTGTTTGAATGATGCAGGATCGTGATGAATTAAAAGACCACCCGATCTTGTACCTTGCAGTTTTTCTCGGCTTGAAAAAACGTTAGTTTGTACTGAATAATTCATATTTACTGCAGTAAGACAGCAAGAGATTGTTTGTCCATAGAATATCTGTTTTATCACCCTATACATATATCTCTTACCTATATTTTTTATTTTCGTTCTTCTTCTTATTTTCATTTCTTTCATTTTTTTTTTTCTTTTTCATTTTTTTTTTCCTTCTTCTTCTTCTTTTTTTCTTTTCTTTTCTTTTCTTTTCTCTTTTATTCTTTCTTTTTTTTCCGTTCATATGCTGAAAGTCTGAATAACTTTAGAGAGGACATCAAGCATTTTTTCTTATCATGCATTATATATATATAAACCGGTTCTACTTCATTAGAATACCAGACTTTAGAACACTGAAATATTGAAAAATTAATCCCGTGGCTCAATGTTAAGTCGATCAACAAACTTGATGAAAGCCTTGATGAAATAACGAGGCCTAACGTACCTCAGTAACAAATGAGTTCAGTAGACTAGTCGAAAAATAATAAAAATGTAAGTTAAGCTTCAGACATTATGCACAACATCCGGTAAAATGCAATACAAATACTATACGAGGGCGGATCCAGGGGGGGAATGGTTAACGAATCAACCCCCTTTTGAAGTCGAAGAAATGATTAATATAAAGAATAAAATAAGAGCTAAAAAGGACGTAACAGTCGACCCACTTGAAATCCGCGATTGCTTGATCCGCGCGCGCGACTCCCGATAGTCCCATACTAGCCAGCAAATTCAGTTTTTATAATGTCCAATAGTTTGTTTTGTTAATACATAAAGACATTTCGCTTATCACATATTTATAGAAGAATGCATTTTCGTTTGAAATATCAGTCAGTTTCACCGGATCAAACTGAACCTGGGCCATATCACTAAAATATGTCTTTCTATCAGAACAAACTGCGTAAAACTTTAGCTCCAAACTGACCGCTATCTTGACAATGTCATTGATATTTTAACGGCAAATAGTCTCGCTTCGTATTTGATTATTAACTCTCCAAAAATGTACCTTTGGAAACTCCTTTTAGTCTTATTTCTAAGAGTTGTAAGTTAAATATTTAGATATTATTAGAATATCATAGATTATAATTCTAATCAAGGCATCCACGGGATGTTAGATTTCAATTCAGTAAGTGTAATTAATAATGTTGTCTAAAACTAATCAGTCTATAGATGTGCTGTCCGTCGTCCTACAAACGAAAGATAAAGTATTAGACACATTGGTACCATATAAAAGCATCCCATTTGAACAAACTAAAAAAAACCTTTCACAATTCTTTATCTTGAATTTCGAAGCTTGTACAAAAACAAAACCATTGTTCGACTAGTACCTAGAAATTATTATTCACATATGAAAAGACAAGGTATAGTCCAATAGTATAGAAGTTTCAACAATTGTTTATGAACTATATAATTAATTTGTAATTTATCAGACAGCAACTAACGTTTATTAATATCTGCCTTCTGCCTTTGAACTTGAAAACTAATTTGCAGAGAAGGTAAGTAATGAAAATCGTGGAATGCTCCTTTTCGTTTTTTGTCTTTACTTCTCTATTTTTATTTTTATTTATCTTAATAAATCCGATAAATGTCAGACTTTTTGAGAGAGGGTGGATATTGAAGGAAATAGAACGCACGTGTTTGTTGTGTACAGTTATAAAGTACTCGGGGATCGTTGCAGAACACAAGATAAGTTTAAGGAAAAGCACTGAATTAAAGTATAAAGACAAAATATAATTCATAATTGGGATTATTTTTATGTTTAGATTCGGTTTTTTTCCCTTTTCTCTTTAAGTCCTGCCCCTAGTTATTTATTTAACTTAATAAACAGACACCTTAATAAAGCTTAGACAAGTTTACTATTATTATTATCATTAATAGACAGAACAAAGTAATATAGGAGCTTTGCACCATCACCTGATGGCAGCCATGAAAGGAGGCACAACAATAGTCTTTTCCCATTGGGAAACTAAATTCTTCCTTATGTAAATTAGATTAGACAAGATTCAATTGATCCTGCCCCCTGTCATGGCTGCCATCACGTGATGGTGCAAAGCCTCTATAGCTTTCCTTATTGGGTACAGCCTAGTGAATTTTAAAGTCTACCCGTAATAAAGAAATGAATTCTCTGTTTAATTATCCTTTAGACAGTTTGTATGCTCAAAGGAAAAAGCTTTTGTCTTTAAAGTCAACAAATTTATTTCTTACTGGAAGCTTTATTTCTAAGTAGTACATCACTTCCTGTACATCAATCCCTTGCCTTTCTCCGAATGTCGTTCTACCAAGGTTTTCTATCTAGAGAAACTGGAGGCGATGTTCAGATTATAAACCTAATGTCTATAATGAACTGAAATGAAAAATAGTATATATATAAATATGATAAGAGAGGGCAGTTAGTTTATTACTAAATGACATGAAAACTTATCGAGCAAGTAATTCATAGTCCGTATATTTTATGTTTAAAAACTCCACAACACACCACAACACAACACAACACAACAAAACACAACACAACACACCACACCACAACCCACCACA